GATTTGTGGAAGGAGCGCTATTTTAGCGCTCCTTCCTGGGGCGGCGAAACTGCGCCACGGGGCCGAGGAATGCGGATGCCTCGGCCCCGATCTGCAGCTTCCTGGGGAGGCCCTGTGCCACCCGTCTGCGTCACAAAAAAGGATATTGGGGTGCATGAAGCCCATGGGCCCCTCACTCCTTACATATCTCTGTTTTAACTAAAGGGGTATTTACTTACCCCTTTAATATTCACTATGGGAAAATTTTGGTTTACAAATAGAGAACTTACTTGATGTCATACCAAAAGTTATCAAAAAATTAAGATCTGTTGATTTCATGTGCTTTCAAGTGGTTTCTTACCTATGGTGACCCTAAGGACCCTGGATTCAAGCTACAGGAAAAGTGATTCCACCTAAACATTAGAAAGAACTTCCTGACAGTAAGAGCTGTTTGACGGTGGAACATGCTCCCTTGAAGTGTGGTGGAGTCTCCTTCTTTTGAGGTTTTTAAACAGTCTGGATGGCCATCTGTTGAGAGTGCTTTGATTGTGTATTTCTGCATGGCTGGGTGACCCTTATAGTCTCTTCCAACTCTGTGATTCTATCATCCTATGATTCTATCACAGTTTTCTGCGAATGAGAATGTGTGATTCAGGGCCTTTGCAGACTGCTAGAAATAGTGCAAATTGAGTCCACTTCAACTGCCCTGGCCCAGTGCTAGGGAATCATGGGAACTGTAGTTTATTGTGGCACCAGAGCTCTCTGACAGAAAAGGCTCAATGTCTCAGAAAAAAATACAATTCCCATGATTCCCTAGCACTGAGCCAGGGCAGTTAAAGTGGCACTATTTCTAGCAGTCTGCAAAGGCCCTCACTCAAGGTAAGCTGGTGGGTTTCCATGGCCAAGCAGGGAATTGAACCCTGATCTCCAGAGTCACGGTCCAACACTCAAACCACTACACCATGCTGACTCTCATTACAGATTGCAAATTTTGCAACTCCAAATTATATACATTTTCCCCACCAACAGATGAAAAACAGGACATGTGTGGCTGAGCTACATCACAGTATGGGCAAAAAAACGTGGCCAGGCAACAAAAGGCAAAGGTCATTAATGAGGCAGAGTATGACAAAATTACTATTTTAAGCAAAGAAATCCTGGAGTATATATACTGAGTTTTAAAAGGGAAGACTTAACCCTGCCCTCTCCTCACCCTTCGGAGTTAATTGAGTTGTAACTGAGTTTTTAACTGAGTTTGAAGCAACTAAGGACCTTTACAGAGTGCCAGAAATAGTGCAGCTTGAGGCCACTTTAACTGT